CCCCCCAATACGTGGTGAAAAAATAAAAGCAGTCCTCCTATGATTCCCCTACCTTTAACTTAAAGAAAATGTATTTCCAAACATGCTGCCATTTTCATTTAGGCCTTAAGATTAATAAGATTCACATTTTTTAAAAATAAAACTAACACAAATAAGTGAAAACTATTTTTATTGCAATACGGCAAATAATTAATATAATATTAATTTATCATATATGAAAAAACATGAAGTTGGAGGCTATGAATACCAGTACATTTGTATTAATAATATGGTACCGGTATAATTTATACGGAGTGGCTAGGTACCCGGGTACCTTCAGCAACAAATGGCTATTCGGACCCGGCTGGTCACGTGAGGTCTTTATAATATTCGATTGGTCACGTGACGGTTATGACGGATACTTCCTGTTTGTTTGCTATCATACAGTTACAGCCATTATTATCAATCGAGAAATGTGCCATATTTTAAAGACTGTAATGTACCGGTAGCGTTGAAGAAACACGAAGAGCAAGTAAGTATACATTTATGTTTATAATTTTATTGTATTTTTTAATTCTATTTTAAATATAGTTCTATAATCATTAACATGACATCAATCAAGATTCAAGATCAAAGTTGCTTTTTGGCGGCAAATCGGCTACTGACTAGATCTGTAATTGTAATGAAAAGTTTGGCTGCGGCTATTCGGACCAGGTATCAGAAGTGGATACTTCAATTTTAATTCACAGCAAAAATTATTATTATTCACACTTGCCATAAAACAAAAGTTCTTTTGAATAAAAACAATTCGGAGAGATCAGCCCGCGGCCGCCATCTTGGTTATCGTGACCCACGAACTTATGTCCTAAATGTATCCCTAAACTAACCTGAACCCTAAATGTATCCCTAAACCTGATCAATCTGAATTAGCCTAGGCCTAAAACTAAAAAAACGTTTAATTAAAAAATTATTATACTTATACATTATTTCACATTTCCATTAAAACACTTCGACTTCACACTTCTAATGAAACAAATGTTATTTTGAATAAAAACATACCTTCTTCTTTAAAGGTCCTCTGCCACTGTAGTGGCCAAAATTAAACAATATGGTCTAGAATGGCGTTGAAGACATAAAAACCATCTACTTTAACATGTTGATGCCACATGTCCACATGAATACACATATACAACAGACTCGTCGATTTCGACTGAGAATAAACATGACTTACCGGTGTAAATTATGTGAATTTTTTGATGGATGAAGCATGAATGGATCTTAACACATGTGTTTTGGGAAATAAGGCCCATGGAGGCCCTTTAGACACCCCTGGCACAGAGTTCTACTCCTTTTCCTGTCTTCAGGGTACTTTTCGGTTGCTTCAGACAGAGAGGTCCTTTTCACCATTGTGCATCCAATTATGATTTATTTGAGCTGGGTGTTACTGAGAAAGTTGTCTGCATACTTATTAGTTATTATTATTATTCTCTCTCACAAACATTTTAATGATATATTGTGTAAAAATTGGCATAAGTACTCAAATGGGGTGCTTATCCCATGAGGCATATTTAAAGGCTCTATTTTTTTCCAAAAATTCATTGGCGTCATCTCTATCCAATTCAGAAACCCTAATCCAAGGATTCAAAGCATTATCGTAAACATAATCATTTTGATTGTCTTCATTACTTTCCTGATTGTTTTCATCAGTGTCAGATTCACTGCTCGACAGCGAGAGATCAAGAGGGTTACGTCCCAAGAGGGTTAACAAAAAAGCTTTCGGGTGACCTGCTCCCTTACCATGCTAGTACATGGATTTCAAATATCCTAGACAGAGTTTCCCAAGCGTTTTGGAGTCACAGCACCGTTGCTGCACCCACGTCTTTTCAATTTTGCTTTAAGCCACATTCTTTGTGCACTGTAAAATAGCACTTTTTAAACAATCTAATCCATTTTTGAAACCTTATACTTATACAAGAAGACATACCTTATTAACTTCACTTGACTCTATCAAAACAATATTTAATTGATACAGCATAGACGCTGCACAAAACCAACTGCTACTTTAATAAGTACAGAGTACCAAGTAGGTTGGAGAACTAACGAAAAATACCAACTTAATTATAAATGGCTTGCATTAAGTCCATTAATTTTTTAACACTTGAGGTCGCAGCAGGACACAGTCTGGGAGCCTCTGTCCTAGTAAATTACATGCCATAATAAACACATATCTTTACATTTTCTCTTAATACCTAGCATCATCCTAATCCCCCTTTAATAATAAATATTAGTATCTTGATCCTTTGAATGCACTTTATATAAAGATAAATCCAGCTAGTGCATGTAAAAATATCAAAAGACTGTATTGGAATGGTTAGTTTCACTGATTAGGTTAGGGTAAAGTCTTGCACATTCCTAATTTAGTTAAAATTAGATAAAAAATCCCTAAAAAAATCTAAATTTCCTTCTGACATATTGAGTGCATTTTTGCTGTAAAAGAAGTAATAAAAAAAATGCAAAAGAGCTATTTAGATGGATTGCGTCTTATATTTAGATTCATCTGTCGCTATAGCATACATTTTTTGGTTAAAATCATAGTAGTAATAATCAAGAGTTACATCTTGCAGGTTAGAATTATATTACCATTGATCTGTGAAAAAAAATCTTATTTACATTTTTAAAGATTCACTACTGTAATGCAGTTGTAGTTAAAATCCTGCACTGAGCTTGACGTGACCATTTTGAAGGTTTTCTTTTGTTCATTTAACACCACCTCCCTAATTCCAATAGTGTTTGGACTTTATTTAATAGATTAAATAAACAAAGCTATTCAACTTTCCCTTAGAGAACCAGGAATTTTTTGTCGAAACACCCATGCAAACATGGCTGGTGTAAAAGCAATGATTATACCAAGTGTGTGATTAATTTTTTTTTGGTACTTTTTATGATGGTAACTTTCAGGTTAAAATTGTTCATAGGATATTGTCTTCATATTAATGCAAGCTTGCACTCTAATATAACAAAGTTTCTGTCTTCTACTAATTAATGAATTATTTTACTTCCAGGTTAAAGTTGTTGTTTTCACAGAGATCACTTGAAGACCCCCATCACTGCCAGAATTCACAGCTGCTCTTATGATGAATGTGCAGGAGGAATCATGACATGCTAGGGCAATGACTGGTCAAAATTTTACTTCAGGTAAATCCAGTCCTTTTTATTCTATTTATTTTTCATTTACCTATGCCACTAATTTAAAAAAAAAAATTTTGGTTTTAATTTTTTTTACATTTTAACTTGATGCTTGATTTATCATACTGGGTAATAATCTTGAGGTAACTTGCCATTATTGGGATCTTGGAAATTTATTCCCAATGGATCATAAGCCAACCACAATCTTAGTTTTGGCCAGGAAAA